TTGTCTGTCTTTCTCTCATTAGTATCTTAGGATACATAGAATAATTAAACTCCAATTTATACGAGTATTCCTTACATACTTCAATTTTTATCCAACCTTGTCCTTTAATTAATTTGATTTTTATTAGGATTCTTAATATACTTAATTTCTATTAGGATTCTTAGAATACTTACCTCTAAATCATTACTCTCTTTACGATATTCTCTCTCTTCGTCTTTTATCCCTCTATCCTTCTTGCCTCACTTAATTCTTGATTTGATTTGATCACTCCTTAATCGACCATGTATTTTTCTTTATTATGGATAAATATTCATTACTGGTTGGAATTATTATTTTCATAAAATTCAATACGACTGATTTTATTTTTATTTATTTTTAATTAAATATAATTTTAATTTAAAATTCTATATTTTAATTTAAAATTATTAATTAAAATAGATAACATCTAACCACAGTTAATTCATTGGCCAGCTCTGATAACTATGCAGTGGACGGTCGAATATATCCAGTGACTCACGTGCATTCCCCACCGCTGTCCGCAACCGCACGTTCCACACGGTTTATATAACACTCGCAATGATTGATGGATCAAAGTCTGTTCTGCGGCAGGCAAGCTCGCCGGCCTTCTCCTTCCCCCACCACCTCACCCAGCCTGTTTCTGCAGCACCCACCAGAAATAGATCACGAGCAGAACTCTTCTCCGAGCCTTCCCCTCTCGCACCCAGCAAGATGTCGGCCCGTGAGTCCCTCGGCCTCGCCGGCCATGTCGTCCGCGGCCGGTGGTTCATGGCCTTCGCATCCTTCCTTGTAATGTCGACCGCCGGCGCCACCTACATCTTCGCGATCTACTCCAAGGACATCAAGACCTCCCTCGGCTACAACCAGGAGACGCTCAACACCATCTCCTTCTTCAAGGATCTCGGCGCCAACGTCGGCATCGTCTCCGGCCTCCTGGCCGAACTCGCCCCTCCCTGGGTCATCCTCGCCATGGGCGCCGCCATGAACTTCTTCGGCTACCTCATGATCTATCTCGCTATCACTGGCCGCCTCGCCCACACCCAGGTGTGGCAGATGTGCCTCTACATATGCGTCGGCGCCAACTCGGGTACATTCGCCAACACCGCGGCGCTCGTCGCTGCCGTCAAAAACTTCCCCGAGAGCCGCGGCATCGTGCTCGGCCTCCTCAAGGGCTTCGTCGGCCTCAGCGGCGCCATCTTCACCCAGCTCTACCTCGCTTTCTACGGCACCGACTCCACGTCGCTCGTGCTGCTCATCGCGTGGCTCCCCGCGGCCATCTCCGTCCTGTTCCTCCCCACCGTCCGCATCATGAAGGTGGTGCGCCAGGCCAACGAGTTCAAGGTGTTCTGCTCCATCCTCTACATCTCCCTCGTCCTCGCCGCCTACCTCATGGTGGTGATCATTGTCCAAAAGAGGGTTTCCTTCTCCCGCTCGGGGTACGGCGTCAGCGCCGCCGTCGTCCTCCTCATCCTCTTCCTCCCCCTCGTCGTCGTCATCAGAGAAGAGATCAACGTCTACAACCAGAACAAGCAAATGGTGCCCCAAACTCCTCCGCCGCCCTCTGTGACCATCGACAAGGAGACGATCTCCGAACAAGCACCGACCGAGGTCGACTCGAGCTTGCGTTCGATTAGCTCTGACGAGAAGAAACCGGTACTGGCACGCATCATCGAGGCCGTGAAGCCTCCCAAGAGAGGAGAGGACTACTCCATTCTCCAGGCGCTCCTGAGCCTCGACATGCTCATCATCTTTTTCGCCACCATCTGCGGCGTCGGCGGCACGCTGACGGCCATCGACAACATGGGCCAGATCGGCGAGTCGTTGGGCTACCCCACCCGGAGCATCAGCACCTTCGTCTCCCTCATCAGCATATGGAACTACATGGGCAGGGTGGCCGCCGGCTTCGCGTCCGAGATCTTCCTCGTCCGGTACAAGTTCCCCCGCCCGCTGCTCTTCGCGCTTGTCATGGCCCCCTCCTGCGTCGGCTACCTCCTCATCGCCTTCGGCGTCCCCGGCTCGCTGTACATCGCGTCCGTGATCATCGGCTTCTGCTTCGGGGCGCAGATGCCGCTGCTCTTCGCCATCATCTCGGAGGTGTTCGGGCTCAAGTACTTCGCGACGCTGTACAACGTCGGCGGCCTCGCCAGCCCGGTGGCCTCCTACCTACTTAACGTGAGGGTGGCCGGCTATCTGTACGACCGGGAGGCCGCGAAGCAGAACGCCGGCGTGATCTCGTCCTCTTCGTCCAAGTCGTTGACGTGCATGGGGGTACGGTGCTTCAGGCTCTCCTTCCTCATCATAACGGCGGTTACGGTGGTCGGAGTTCTTGCGATGCTGATCCTGGTGTGGCGAACCTGGGCGTTCTATAGAGGAGACATATATGCCAAGTTCAAGGAAGGTGGGGAAGGAGGCAGCAGTGAGGACAAGGCGAAGAAGAAAGAAGCTTGCGTGAGAATGGCAAGGCAGATGACAACAGAAGCGTCAGCTATGCAAAGCAAAGCTTAGCTTGTCTCCTTCTGTCTCTTGTACTCATCCAAGGTAAATGGAGGACACCAGCTCTAATAGATTTGGAAGTCACCATAACTCATCAATATAGTGAGAATGATAAGATTGTTCTTGTGGGACTATTTTTCAATGAACTAATAATACTTAAGTGGCAACAAATTGAGTATATATTACAAAGGCATTATCTTCTCCTTTAGAAAATTCAATGATTTTTGGTCATTAACTCATGAAACAAAACTATAATCCTGCAAGAGCATGTTAGATTAAGAAGAGGAGAGTATGCAGTCAAGTCATCCAGTTCTACCTATAAGATCACTTCATTCGAGGGAAAACTTATAAGATGAACAGAGATCATGAGAAGCTAAACCCACTGTTTACCTGTTCATATAGATAATTATAAGTAATTTACAGATTGATGGTTAATAATTGGAGATTAAACTTTGGTCCACATAATCCTGTTATTTAAGGCTATAGTGTGGTTTAGGGTTTCCTTTTCGTGATGTTCCTTTGGAAAGATGCGATGCTTTTGTGCTGGTTGGTTGTCCTGCTGCTGATGAAATCAATCAAAGGAAAGCAGCAAGCTATCATCTCAACTTTGCTATGTACTAATTATTTTATATGACCTTTTATATTATACATTTGAACAGTTGCCCAGATTGTCCTGCTCCCGATGAAAATTCATGCAAGGAAAGCAGCAAACTTGTCAGTTAATTTAGGTTTTTCTGGATATCTTTCCTGGCCCAATTGTCCTTTTTACTAGTGTGTGTATATATATATATATATACATATCCTCTTGAATACTAAATATATCACGTATACTTCTCTCTACCATCCATTCGAAAGAAAACTTTAACTATTATTACACATCTTAGAATAACAATAACTAATTCAGTTAAATATACAATTACAGATTTCTACGACCTATAAGACTTTTAATTACAAGAGCAGAGCATGTATGAACAATTTTATAATTTAAATTGGTATTTAAAAAAAATAAAGAGTAAGTGTGGAAAGCGAGATTAAATCCCGGAATATGATATGCTAAAATTCTTAATAGATAATCTTAGCCAAACACCTTTGAAATTTGTTAGATGCTCAACCATTGATGAATAGATTTGGTATACCATTATTTTTAGCTCCTAACGGCATATTTGTTTCTAATGTTTGGGCCAAGGACAAAATTTTGTAAGCTTCTTCTCAGCAATTTAGTGATTTTAGTCTTAATTACCATCTTGATTTCGTTATCAAGAATAAATTCTATAATCTTTATGATAATATCGAATCAGGGATGTAAAAAGTTTGTCAATGTATTCCATATAGAAGTTAGTGTTAACATATTACTCAACAATCCTAATGGTTTGATGAAAATAACATTAGTACAGCCAGTAATATTGTGGGCATTAAATGTTCGTCGTGTAACTTCCGAAAGTTAAAAAAAGAAAAGTTGACCCATTAATTGTTGGAATGGAACAATACATTGAGCCATTAAAACTGTCAGCAATATAAATATTAAATGTTTGTTTAGTGGATGTTTTTATCACCCTTGTAGCTTCTGCCTTGTATATTATATGATCACATGCCTTGACTTAGAAGAGGGATCATGTGATTGTTGTGCACTTATATGCGAGGATTTTGTACAACTTTTGTTACATGAGAATTAGACTCTTAGGGATTTTTGTGACCTTGAAGGATTTATGACGCACTTAATCTTGTTAAATGCAGTATTAGTAATATTTACATGTATGGAATCCACCAACTAAATAATTTATGGTTACCTTCTTAAAATTTATAAATTAAAATTTTAATTAAAGTCTAAGAGAAATAATCACATATAGCTTACTTGCCAATTATCAAACTTTTATGCTTTAATCCAGTTTCACTACCAACCATTGCAGTTTGCAAAAAGAAATGATATTGATATAATTAGTTTGTAATAAAAGAGTCATATTCTAAGTTGTTTTCTTTTCTCTGGTGTGAGACACTTTCAACCTGATTATACTCTGATATTTATTTATAGGATGGATATATATTTCAACACGTTCATACTGTCATTGATTATATAAATTAATCATACGAAAATTTTAATATGATTTACCAAAATATACCTTTAGGTTTGGTTTTCTACAGCAGAACATCCTGTTTTCTTTTGGGATTTTTACCCAAAAACATTTATCTTTCTCCAAATATCCAAGATATCCACAAACAATGATTCCTTCCTTTTTTTACACTCACTCTTAGAAAAATAATTAAAATACAGAATTTAAAATACCATAAGCGAACAATGTAAAAGTTAGAAAACAATATATTGAAATATTTTTTAATTAAAGCAAGGTAAACATGACAAAATACTAACATGAATAACTTTTTGAGGAACTCTTTTTTTGTGTGAGAGGGAAGTTATCATGTAAAACTGATTTTTTTTTCATTATATATAATAAATGACTGCCAGTATAGTCACATTAAGGAAAAAAACAAACAACCAAACAAATAATGGCATTCCCTAATTACCTACAAAAAGAATTTATCCAAACAAGTTTATAAGACTTACACCCATACCTTTACCTTTATTTTGATATACTGTAGATGCAGTAACAGATACAACTGTGATGCCCGATTTCTACCTAAGGATTTGATCGAGCTTCTACCTCTTCAACTTCCATGATTCCATAATTTGGTCAGGGAACTGCAGATATCTTGGAACTACCTTATGATGAAATCATATAAGAGACATCTTGACATCTTAAACAATGAAAAGTAGCTGCTAACTTGCGAAACAGCAAGAGTACCACCTTCCTTTCCTCTATTACACATAGACGGCGTTGCTGAACCGAGCTGCTGTGACTGAATGTTGCCAGCTCTGTTCCTCTCCGGTTAAAAGTAATCACATGGGCTTCGATCAATTAACGAGACACTGATGAGAAGCAAGCACAGGCATTTAAGAGTCGAACATGGCAGTGCCTGATGTAAGAGATGATAGAAGTCCTGCTGCTGGGCCAGGGAGAATGTCGCCAAAAGTTGACATAGCAGCTGCTGATCTGTCCTTGAGCCTTCCGACTTGGGAGTCGGAAAGCATAGAGCCCCACCTCGATGTACTCTCTCCAAATTTGCTACCAACCTATAAATTTTGGACGGGAAAACTAAAATGTAACTGCAGTTCCTAATTTCCAGATCTTTGAAACAAATGGAAATGCCATGAATCTAATGAATTTGACAACTTGTTTAGTAAATTGTATCAAGAATTTCATGAACCGTTAGAGACTATTTCTGACAGTAAGCTGGAACATGTAGGCCAACGATCAAACATATGTAGGATGCTAACTCGGTAAATTCATTAGCGGGGAGCTACTGAGCATGTCTGTGAAGATTTAATCCCACTCATGAATCGTGCGCACAATTGATAAATGAGTATTCAATAATATACTCAACATTGATATCATCATTTCATAATAGATATTTCAGTGACACTTGTTTATGCTGAATGCTCTTGCATCAACTTCCAAAGGATCTATATCATCACCAAGCCACTAAAAAAAACATGCAATCTAATCAAAATTAAAATAAGTTCCAACTAGTACCTGTGTCATGATGGACTTCAGCAATGGCGCTGCTGCTCCAAAATTTGGACTATCATCAAACTCAGGCTTCGAAGATTGCCCTCCATTTGAATATGCTTTCCAAGGGCTCCTCGCTGTGGTATCATCAGCTGCCTGCAGAGCTGATTTATGTGCACCTCTTGAAGATAAGGCAGGAGCACTGAAGGAGGGAAATTCATATCAGAATCACACCAAAATTGATAACATTAGCAATTAATATTAAGCAAGAGTATATATATGTTCGCTTAAGAAAATGCTTTAAAGAAATCTAGATAAGATCCACTTATTTTTCAAGAAATATATTATACCAAACTAATTATTGACCACAATGACAATTACCCACTAGTTCAACTATACTGGTCCTAAATGCACCAACTGTACCAGGCATACCAGCACTTCAAACAATACCTTTTCATTTCTATCAGCAGTATACCATGGTATCTTGGAAATTAATGGTCTGATATTATATTGGTCAGCAGGGACTAGCATTTAAATCCTTCGATAAATACACTCTGTCAGCATCTCAAAGAGGTCCAACCTTGTCCTCATCAGTTCCTAGCTACACCGGCAGCCTCTCAAATTCTTCAATTCCAACAAAATACAGTCCAGTTGACCAATTAAGGAACACTGCAACTAAAACCTTGAAGTAGCAACCCTCACAATGAAGAGCTTCAATTTTGGTATTTACTGACAGCTCTTGGGGAATCTGACTATATCCTTTTTTTTTTCTTTTTGCCAATCTGTCCATATCATAGGCAAATACGTGTTCCACCTCAAAAATGTTCTTACTAAACACAGAGGCTGAAAAACATTTGCATAAGTAGTTCCTAGTCTAGAATCCATTCAATTGCATAGTAATGCAACGAAACAAGTTGATACTAGGAATATTCACCAAGCATTTCGACACATGAGACCATCCTTACTATAATTGAAGTAGCTGGTTGACTAAACTCACATTTATTTAGAAAATGAAGCAAAAGCAGTTGTTGCAGACTTACATTTACTTAGCATGTTAATTAGTTTTGATCCGAAGTCATATTTTCAAGATGCACCTATAAGCAAGCTTGATACCTCCATCCACAAAACCCAATACCATCTCTTCTTGCTATAGAGGTCAATACCTACATATTTTATCCAAACATGTACTTCTCCAGACTAGCATAAGAACTTAAGTCTGATTTGAACTCTTAACGCTACTTTGTCAATTTCATTTTATTTTTAATGCAATCGAGTCACCTAATAATACCAACTTCCATCATATGCTTCTACTTTATTGTTGTCTCTCATCAGATAACAGCTGGTCATATCATTGTAACTTAACATAAAAGATCGTTTCATGCGATTCATAACACCATAAGATGATCTTTCAATGACTGGGAAAAATCAAGGAACATACTTAATATTATCTTCTTCATATTCAACCTTCTAAGTTTCGATTTTCTACCACTATGCATGCTAGGCAAGTATTCTTCTAAGAAAAAGATATATGGCATGGTACTTGCTCATTTCATGTTCACTTGTTTGAATCACTCTCCAAATATAGACTTCTGACAGCTGAATCAATTTTCTTTAGTTGATCTTGCCAATCATCTGCTGTAGAAAGTGCTAATTAAGATTAAACAGCAAAGAGATTAATACTAAATATGCCAAATATCCTCTTCAGAGTATGCAAATAACTAAAATTTCCTTGTCTTTCATCTTTCCTTCTCAATTTCTTACTAAATTTACTGATCCTAACAAGAGAGAATGAAACTGTGAAACATCATTTGCATGACTTCAAAAAGTAAATTGTTCTTACTAGCATAACCATAAAGGAAAAAAAAATTCAATTTTTTGCTCAAACATCAGTGAATGTCAATGCTCTAAAAGGAAGTTAAAAGAGTTGGTGAGTAATAACCCCCAGGGGAATCTAGGAGATACGGAAATATGATTAACCAGAAGAAAAATGTAAAGATTTCTGATTCTCATTAACTATATTGAATCATATACAAACCTATTATTTCTAACATAGATATAAAAAATGGATCTTTTGCTATACCTCCAGATAACTTGGTTGCTCTAAAAGGAAGTTGAAAGAGTTGGTTAGCTAAGTGAAAAAGAAAAGAGAAAAAATCATAGAAGATGTGGAGATAAGATAAATTGAAGGAATAGGCACAATAGCAGGAATGACAAAATTGACTTCAAAGAATTTATCATATAATTTGACACAGATATATACTTCGATTATAGATTGGTTGAATCCCATTTCTATTAAATAAGAGCAAATCACGGTTAACTAGCCTTTTGGTGATCCAAGAAAAAACAATTTTAAACCTTGCATTTGTATAGTTCATGAGAAATTTGAGCATCGTACAGTTCTGACAATAAAATAAATAGATAGCTATCAATGGAGACCTATTACAAATCCAAGGCCAAAAAGTTTTCCATCCCACCTTTAGACACTTGGCCATTCAAAGCATCAGCCTAGCAATCAGAAATTTAAAAATGGCATGTTCTAAATAAATATTGGCCTTTTAGATGCAGAATAATATCTTCTTTTATTCCTTGCTGATTTAAATACAGAAAAAAAATATCATGTTTATGTCATATAAATCATAACTTTTATAACTAAATGTTGCTACAATTATTAAAGCATGATAAATCTCTCGAAGTTTATATTGTCAAAGAAGCCTGTTTCTATGTTGAGTACTACTTAGTAACTTTATTCCAAGATATTCCTCAACTAGACAGCTTCAGTCAACGAGCAACCACTCAAGTGATTACATGATAGTAATGGAAGGTCACAGGATTCTTGCATCGTAGAATGGCAATATTTCTGAACTGGTAGATTGTGGTGTATGGGTATTAATGTGCATGTGGGTAACTTGTCCTGGAAGAGAATTCTAGGGAACAGAAACCATTTTTTCTAACATGTGTTCTCTTTAGCAACTGCATTTTTATGAGCTGGACATTGTAAAATGTTATGACAGTTCAAGAGTAAGTTGTAGTAGCTTAAAATTGTAAAGCACAAAATACAAGGAACCAAAGAAGTGAACTTCATAAAGGAAGACACTGATAAAATAGTCAATGGTAGGTAACTAAACTCTGACACTAACCCAACCATGACCCAGCACTTGCAAATTAAGCATAATACAATTAGCTGCTCATGCTTCATATCAAGAAAAGTGGCACAAACCTGATTGGAAGATATTTAAATCGAGGAACTGTGGAACATCTCATGATGTTTGAGCCGGTGTTTGATTTTGTGGGCAATTTTTGGATAGTGTCAGTGTACATGCGATTAAGTTGAACCAAGAACCCAAACAAGACAGCAAATCGCTTGTATGATTGTTTCTCATTTTCCCATAGGTAAGGTTCATACCTGCAAAAGTATCACAAGAAAAAAAATTCCAAGTACATTAACTCTTCACACATGTAACCTTATACATTCTCTCATGACAAATACAAGCGGCATTACTTATCAAGTTTATTAATATAATTAATGCAGAAAATTCAATAAAAAGACTTCAATCCGTATCAGTAGCATCAAAATTTTTGGAAAGAATGCTTACGTTGCCCAGTCAATGGGATCCAACCTCTGCGAAAAGCTATTTATCAGCCTGATTATAGTCTCTGCATTAGCACAATCAAGGTGGACTTGTGGCTGTTTCCTTCTCAGTGAAGGTTTCAGCGCTACAATTCTTGATGAATCCTGTTCAGGGTTACTACTAGCAAAGTCTCTGCCCCCAGATAGAATGTCAGCAATGAATTTTAGGTCGAGCAAAATTTGCAAGATTCCTTTTTCTGAAACCCGAGATTCACCACTCTCCACAGCTAATAATAACGTTTCATAGATTTTAATCACCTGTGAGGCAATATGTTAATAAGGAGCAGAACAACTTCAGAATTGCTCGAACACAGTACAAAATTGATCTCTCAGAAATATTTTCATATGTGTGTTTCCATGAAAGGTTGAGCTCTTCATCTAACTGGAATAGAAGTGACATTAAGCATTTACAACATAGAAAAACCTTCTCCAATTGGAGGATAATTGACATATCATGATCCATGAATTGAAATTTTGGATTAAAGCATTATTCATTAACTGTTCAACTTGTGGCAGGTACTTCAAATACCTAAAGATGAAGACTCTAACAAGCAGACACTGAAAAACCTAGCATAATATACTTTATATTCTGTTTATCCACCCCACTAATCTTCTCCGTCACTGCTAGAAGCCAATATTTCTGCCCTTGTTCATTTGTCAATACATTCCTTCTGCTCGATAATTTTAACCATGCAAAGATGAGCAAAAGGTCCCAGTAAAAGAGGCTACTAGCTAATTTGATAGACGATTCGGAGTACTAAAATACCAAACTGACAACTGAAGTTAATTTATTTAAGGTTTAACATTGGTTTGCATTTTATATCTTTTCAAGTTTGTAGTTCTCCCAGTGTGTTTCTAATTTGGCCTCTCAAATAAAACCAGTTAACTGAAGTGACCAAGTATGTAGATTGATTAGACTGTACCCTAGTCTGGACAAAAATTATATGAAACCCAGTCTAGACAACACCCCTATTATTCTGTATATATTATTATATACATTGTTCTTTATATCTTTCCCATACTCCATTCCTTACCAAACCCTCCTGATTTTCGAGGTGTCACCAGACCTTGTTAAAAACTTCACCTTTCAATGGCAAATGATTCTCTGCTTGTATCAATGACTCAACAAAACCACCATCAAATACCATTTTTATTTCCAAAATCAACAACAGAAATAGGTAAACATGATGATTGTAAAAAGAACATTTTAATTTTCAAAATGGAGCAAGAACAAATAATATCAGTGATCCCAGATTAGAATCTGTTAAAATCTATAAAAACAAATTATCATTTACACATGGAAAGGAAAATGTTTTATGTGGATATGTGTGATGAAACTATCTGCAAGAAAACTAGTACCACTCCATAAAGTGAGATATCTAGCAAGATGAAGCAACATACCTTTTCTAAAAGTTTCCATGCAAATATTTGCAGTGTAAATCTCTCGAGAACATGACCTCCAATTTTATGAATTTCTACGCACGCTTGAAAGAGAAAGGAGGTAATGTAGAGTGAAGGCATGGAAGGAAGAGCAATTGTCATCTCCAATGGGTCCTCTTTGGATTGATCTTGTTTGATAATTGTTACTTCCCAACCCTACATGAGCAAAGTTACTTGTGTAAAATTTAACTAGACATAACTAGTCATCTCTCAGACCACATTTTAAGACTTCAAATTAAAGAAAACAATACAAGGATACCATACATAACAGTGAAAATAACTTCTATCTCATTGAGATATGAGAAAATGCATTTACTTCAGGATTAGCAAAATTAAATTAGACATTATTCTCAAGTGATAACATATATAAATTGATCATAATGAGCATTACAAAGTCAAAGATTCCATTTACACAAATATCTAGAGAAGAAATTAAAAACAAACCAAACAATGAGATTTAAGGGATCTACTCATGGAAAATAAAAAAATTATTAGAACTATTATCATTACTAACTACTCAGAAAATTAAATAAGTACCATATACCTGCAAAGGTGTCGATGCAGATAATGTATCATCTCTATTTAGATCCTTGGAAAGAATCAGTGCTAGTTCATTAGACACCCATATAGTCCACAAGCTATGAGCTTTGATGCATAGTTCTCGGAATGTTTTGTTCAGTTCATCAAGTTTTGGGCATGTGTTGTCATCCAGTGAAAACAATGCAGCAGCAGCTGAAAATGTTTGCCTTCTTGGATTATCGAGGAATTGACTCCTAGCACTTTTAGAGATGTCAAACGTAGGCCTTTTCAAGCTAGAAGAGATTGGAGAGTTAAAAACCACCTTAGATTGCCCAGGCAAAGGAGATGATGGTAAGCTAGCAGAGACTGCACCAATCATATCTTTAATCCACTGTCTTGGGGAACCAAGAATTAGTGGGATATGACTTGAATGGTTTCTCAATGCAAATAAAAGACGTCCTACGAAAAGTGATCTTCCAACAAGTACAGAGTGAGGTAAAGAATCCTTGTCCTGCTTGTTGCTTGTTAAAGAAGCAGCAAACTCTGCAACGTCAACCTCAAGTTCCTTTAATAAAACAGAGATGGTCTTGTAACATTTCTCTTGGAGAAATGGTGCCAGTTCCTTTAACCTGAAAACAGAGTTCTGAGATTCCACAAAACATAAAAGATCCTCTAGTATGCTCTGGCTTTTGCTGTCCACTGCATCTCTGATTCGACTAACTTCAGGTCCAAGATACGCATTGAGGCTATTACGGAAGTCGTTCTCATAAACAGTTGGCTTAAGTGCATAAAACAGTCCTGTTTTCTTTTGAATTGGCTCGGAGAACCAAATTCCACCACCAGTTGAGGGTTTCTTCAGGTAAGCTTGAAAATCATCCTGGTCTCTTGTACCTTTGGCATTCACAATAGAGTGAATCGAGTTCCTCAAGTTGATATCTGCAATCAAGTTCTCAAACTCGGTATGCACAATCTCCTTCATTCTTTTAGCAAATGCCTCTTCCAACCTATCTTCTAAGATGTCCTTTCCATCTTTCAGAATAAGCCCACGAATCTGGTTCCATGGTGACTCAATTTCGGAGCCAAAGACACTCTTCAGCCACTGTTCCAAGCTCTCCTCCAGACCCCCTCGACCATCCAAAGTTTCATGGACCAGTTTTTCAGCAGCTGCAAGCCCTTCTCCACTTCCAATTGCATCAATGATTCGCTTGCCACTCACCAGCACCCCAAAGATCTCATTACAGCAGTTCCTCAACCATGAAGAACAGGTCTGAGCAATGAACTCTGGTTCGAGCAGAGCCATCATTGCCTCCAATTTCTCCCGATGCGACTTCCAAAGCCTCACTTCCTCCTCAGGATGGGGAATCGCCCCAAACAACTGCGTCCCGGGTGGTGATCCAAGCACCATTTTGTAGAACAATGGCATTTCATTCAACGCGAGCAGGAAAAGCTCGCCCACTTGCCCCAAGCTAGATCTAATGATCCTAACCGCGTCACATAGCAAGGAAGAGAAGGAATCGGGAACCAATGAGTTATCCGTTAGCCTCTGCGCGATCCACGACCTCCTTGAGTCCAAGAACAAACCTAGCACTTGCTTCGGGTCAAGATCATCAATCGTAGCGGCAGCGGCGAGGGCGTCGGCATAGCCCGCGACCGTGAGCCCCTGGTCCGTGAGCCTCTCGCGGCTCCTCTGCGAGATCTGGACCTTGAAGCCCTCCACGATCTGCCACTGGTGGCGGAGCAGCGGGAACTTGGCGAGCATCTCGCCATCGGCGGCGTCGGAGGCGAGGAGACCGTGGACCTCCTTGGCTCGGAGGTACCGCCCGGAGGCCTCGAGGAGCATGGACTCGTCGAGGCAGCCCCAGATGTTCTCCGGGGTGTCGACGAGGTATTTGACCCTGGAGGCGATGCCATAGACCCGGGCGCGGGCGGGGTTCGGGACAAGGGCGAGGGCGGCGGGGGCGGTGACCGGGGTGGAGAGGGAACGGAGGGCGTCGTCGACCGCAGCGAGATTGGAGTCGATGGACTCGCAAGAGGAGCGTATGAGGAGGATGGAGTCGGCGGAGTCGATGAGGTCGCGGTAGCTCTCGCCGACGAGCTGGCGGAGCTCCTCCTCCTTGGCCTTGATATCCCGCCGCGTCGCCGCCTCCACGGCGCGGATCTCCGGGATCGGCTTTGACCGAAAGAGGGACTCGGCGTCGCGGGCGGCGCCGCCGTTCGTCGGCGGCGGAGGTGACCGCATGGCGACGGATCTGAGTGAGGAGAGATAGGGGAGTCAAAAGGGAGAGAGACGAATGTGCGAAGTCATGGGATTTAGAGAGCGAGAAGGGGTCGACGGATGGGATTTGGGACGTGAGTCTCGCACGGCCCATAGAAAGGTTTTACCTCATCAGGCTTACCTGTGATGTATAACCTTAACCTTGTCATTAAGCCTCTTTACCTCATGCCGTAATTACGGAATTTGAAGCGGGACAATATGTACAGTCTTATGTCATCTATCGTTATATTCGTAAAAAAATATTTTGACAATCATACAATTTTAAAATGATTAAAAGATCATTTTAATCCATGTAATTTTCGAATCACTTAAGCTATTATGCTTTATTCATACCTAAAATAACTCCTATATTTTTCAGAATATATAAGTTTTTCTCATCAAATTTAAGTTAACAGAGTCGATTTATATGATATGTTAATTCATAATAAATTATTAATATAATGATATATATAATTTAAGTCTAAAAAAAGGTTAAGATCAATTTTAGCCCATGTGGTATTAGTCATGGACTATTTAAGCTCTTATAGTTTATTTATGTATAAAATAATCTATATATTTTAAAATATATAATATATAAGTTTTTTCTGTCAAATCTGAGTTAACGGATGTTATAGTCTACTTATGTGACATGTTGATTCATAATAAATCATTAATATAATGATATATATAATTTAAATTTTAAAAAAAAACTATGGCTATCATCAATAGCGAGAGAGGTGTCGTCGTGGAAATGACCACTAGTAGTAGCATCGAGCTACTGTCGCTTAGTAGAGCGTCGTATGCATGTAGCCTCTCCTACGCTAATGACAAGCTCGAGAGCTTCCGATCCTATCTCTAGTGAATGTGCATCGACTAATCTAACGCTAGGCACGCAGTGATCTCTCGGTCCCTCTTCCTCATCTTAAGTATATTCGTCTCTACCACCTCCCACTTCGTCCTCTCTTATGCCTTTACTCGTCGCGCCTACGATGTGGTGATCTAGCTTTCCCTCACCTCCACCTCTAGCTTCTCCTACCTCTACCTCTCCATCTTCGTCCACTACTACGGCCTTCATCTCTTTCTCTTTCTCAACAAGATGGACCTTAACTATTTTTTAAACTTAAATGACATGTGTCATTATATTAATGACTTATTATGAGTTAGTATGTCATGTAAGTAATTTTTAATGTTTGTCAACTCAAACTTGATAGGAGAGATTTATATACTATGTTTTTGAAAATATAGGAATTATTTTAGACATAAATAAATCATAAAAGCTTAAGTGATCTATGACTAAAATCACAAGGGTTAACATGGACCTTAACATTTTTCAAACTTAAATTATATATGTTATTATATTAATGATTTATTATGAGTCAGTATACCACCTAAGTAAACTCTAACATATATTAACTTAGACTTAACATGAGTGTATTAGGACTCTAGCCATGAGAGTCTTAATTGAATTTTATTTAAAGGGGCATTTATATAAAACCCACCTAGCTAACCCCTATTAAAGAGGTGAAGAGGCTGACTAGGGTTAGGATTAGTTGGGAGGTTGCTTCTTAGAGTAGGAGTCTTATTAGGAGTTGGTCAAAAGTAGGAGTCTTGAGTATGAGTCCTATTAGGAGTTAGGGTTTAAAAGCCCTATAAATAGTCATGTATTCATCATCTTTTAACAAGCAATAGATGAATCTTTTTAGCAGTTTTTGAGCAGCACCTTGGAGGAAGAAACCCTTATAGAGTTTCATGGAGGCTGATCCCCTAAAGAGATCAACCCCAAGCTTAGAATCTGCTAGGGTTCTAACACTTGGTATCAAAACAACATTCTTGGCATCTCGCTGCCCTTCCACAGCCATCCATCAGCCCTCCACAACCATCCAAAGCAATTTTCACAATTGCTTAAAAGATCGTTGTCGAATTCCACCGTCATCTCCACCACCGCTGATCATCTTTTGATCTCCCCATGAATTGCAACAGGTTCTGGTTTCCTATCTTACTGCTACTGTAATTTAGTTATCCTTATTCAAAAATCCAGCCATCCATCAACCCTCCACAGCTGCCCAAAGCAATTCCCACAATTGCTTAAAAGATTATCGTCAAATCCTGCCATCATCTCCACTATCGTGGATCATCCTTTAATCTTCCCGTGAATTGCAATAGGTTCTAGTTTCCTATTTTACTGCTACTACAATTTAGTTATCCTTATTCAAAAATAAAAAAAAAATTGTTCCTATATTGCTGCATAAACTTTTCGTCATAAAGTTGTTATCTCTACGACGAAAGATGCACTACAGAATTCCAACTGCATAGCACAGATTGTTTGATCATGCTACTATATTTTTTATGTCCAAATCTCTATGAAATTTTTATGATAGCTTTGACACTTCGTAACAGTAGATTTCTCTTTAGTTTTGTAAAAAACTTCCTAATATAAACCACTGATCTTTTACGTCCAAGCTGCTAGATGCACTGTAAAATTTTAACCACATAACATAGTTTGTTTGATCTTGTTACTGTATTTTTTCTATCCAAATCTCTACAAAACTTTTATGACAACTTTGACACTTCCCATCAATGGATTTCCCTTTGGTTTTGTTAAAAAATTCCTAATATAAACCACTAATCTTTTACGTCTAAACTGCTAGATGTACTACAAAATTCCAACTGCATAACATAGTTTATTTGATCTTGCTACTGCGTTTTTTCTATCCAAATCTCTATGAAATTTTTACGACAGCTTTGGCACTTCTTAACAACAGATTTTCCTTTAGTTTCATCAAAAAATTCTCGATATAAACTACTAACCTTTTACATCTAAGCTGCTATACTTTAGACATAAAAATCTACTACAGTACCTTTCCGTGATCCTCAATTTTTCCAAACCTTCCACCACCCTATGCCATTAACCCATCAACAGAAAAAAAAGACAAGGAAATCTCTGATCTACAGGCATGCTATGGATTCTCAAGATCCAATTGATGCCAAATTTGAAGCATGAGAATCTCGGATTGGATCACGGCTTGAATCGCGCTTGGAGGACAAATTACGTGCTTTGTTTGCAAAATTCAGACTTGGACAACCACCGAGTCCAACCAAATTTCAGCAAGGAGAGAGTTCAAAGAGGCCTTTAGAGAAAGAGGGATAGGCCTCAGACATGCTTCAGCCACGCATGAGGGTGGACTTCCCGTGATGGGAAGAAGGAGACCCGACGGGGTGGATTTCATGCGTCGAACGTTACTTTTCCTACTATTTAATGTCAGATGATACTATGGTGGAAATTGATGTCATCCATCTTAAAAGAGATGCTATTCAATGGTACAAGTGGCTAAAAGACAATCATGGGGCTCTGACATAGAATCAATTTAAGAACGCATTACTGAATCATTTCGGACCTACGGAGTATAAAAATATCGATGGCCAACTCGTAAAGATTCGATAAACCTTTATGATTCAAGAGTACCAAACTAGGTTTGAGAAGCTATCCTATCTTGCTCATGATTGGACTGACCATTAATTGTTAGAAACATTCATCGAAGGACTCAAGCCAGAGATAAAAGAGGAGGTTAAGGCGCAGCAGCCCCGTACCATGACAACTACGATTTCTTTCACCCAAATACAAGAAGAATGGCTCAACCAAGATGCTCGGAGGATAAGAACCTCTCCTAGGCCTATAGCATATAAACCTCCTTTTGCTCCCAACTGTCCTTCACTGCCAAAAAAATTGACAAGAGAAGAACTACGTGACTGATCAGCAAAGGGTCTTTGTTGGCATTGCGACGAGCCATGGAATCGCGATCATCGCTGCAAAAAGAGCCGCCTCCTACTGATTGAACCTCTTGAAGACATGGAGGAGGAGGTCCAAGAGCATGAGGTAGAGGTCACGGATGAAGAACAATAGCCGATCGATATTACGATGCATACCCTAGTCGATTACGCAAACCCACAAACGATAAAAGTGGGAGGACTTCTGAAGCAACAACCTATCACTATTCTTATTGACACCAGGAGGACTAATAATTTTATGAGCAGAAAGGTTACTGTCCGGATGGCCTTACCTATCAAGAACTGCAGCAGGTTTGACAATAAGGTCACCGACGGAAGAATCTTGATGTGTGATCGTAGGTGCCCACGGGTGAAACTGTTGCTGTAGGATCAAGAGATAACTACATATTTCTTCTACCTCCCTCTTGATGACTATAAGGCAGTGCTTGACATCGAATGGCTGATGACATTAGGTGATATTTTCTAAAATTTTATAAAACTAATTATGAAATTTTATAGTAAGGGGAAACAAGTGATACTGCACGGGAAACTTGAGGGCAACGTAATGACGATTTGCACACAACGAATGGAGAAGGTTTTGCATAAAAAATGTAGCAAATTTTTTGTATAACTTAAGCAGCAAACTAAGTGAGAGCCAACAGAATTTGAAGATCCAAACCTACTTCCTTTACTTGTTGAATTTTCAGATATATTTGACGAACCGCGCTATCTACCTCCTACCCGTTGGCATGATCATTGTATACCGATTCTTCTAGGAAAACCTCCAGCAAATACTCAGTCATATCAGTATCCACATCTCTAGAAGGATGAAATAGAAAGGATTGTAAAAGAGATACTCGAAACATGAGTTATTCGGCTAAGTTACAGCCCCTACTCTTCACCGGTACTCCTCGTACGAAAGAAGGACGGAACATGGCACATGTGCATTGATTACCAAGCTCTCAATGGCATAATCGTCAAGGACAAATATCCTATTCCAGTTGCAAATGCGCTTTCGTGACTACTTGAGCAAGCTGAATTTTTTATCATTTCACTTCCGACCAGCGACTTCCTTGAGGATATTAAGAGGGAATGATAGGAAGATCTAGAGGCCAGTAAGATCATAAAAAAATTGGAGGAAGCACCAAGCTCCGTGGCTCATTACAGTTGGGACTCAAAATAATTACGCTATAAGGGACGTATTATGCTTGTGCTAAATTCTACTTGCATAAAGACTATCCATCAAGAGATGCATTCCACACTTACGATAAAGCACTCTAGGTTCCTTAAAA